GCACCTTGTCAAGTGTTTTATGAAAATTCAGATAGATCAAATCTACACCATTACCCTCATCTACATTAGCAGTAACCTTTTCGAAGAATGTTGAAAGATTTGTAAGGCAAGATTTTCCCTTTGTGAAACCAATAAAATTCTAAACTTTGTTAAATGACTTTGCAAAGAATCTTTTGACAGACTTTCCATAATTTTTCCCACAGTTGATGTAAGGCTAATGGGTATATAATTACTGGGACAATTTTTATCACCACCATTGAAAAGAGGAGTTGCATTAGCTAACTTCCAATCCTCTGGTACCTGCCCACTATTCCAGGACTGACAAAAAAATAGTAGCAAGTGGCTCACATATCCAATCTTTCACCTCCTTCAAAACTTTTGGGGAAATATTATCTGGCCCAGGAGCTTTATCATCTTTTTAAACTTCCTAATTTTTTCTTAACCAGCTCAGAATTAATGCAGTCATCTTGTTTGATCTCGTATAATGAAACTCGGTGTAACTAAACTGGTTCCTTTAAGTGACTATGTTTTTGCAGCAAATTGATTAAATAGATGTTGTTTAAAAAAATATAGAATCAGTAACCTTTTAGGCTTGCAAGAGAACTTCAGTTTTAGAAACTTAGGTGTAAAGTATAAGTTTCCTTGTGAATGGATATTGAGAAAATCATTCATATTTATAAATGTTTTAGTTTTTATCTTGCTGTCTTTCTAACATGTGATTTTTTTTTAATGATTTTTAATAAACCTTACATTTATTGAATAGGAAAGAAGAAAACAGGATCTGCTACAAATGGAAGAAGCTATGAGACAAACTCAGGAAAACCAAGCACTGGCTGCTGCTGAAACTATGCAAAGAAGACAACAGCTGTTGGAAGATGTGGCTAACGTAAGTCTATTTTAACATGAAGAAATAACTGTTTTGTATGTGATGACAGCATTTTAAAAATGATCTGTTATACAAATTGTAACCTCCCCTCCACTGGCTCAGCAGTAAATATATGGGCATATAACACTAAAAATCAGGTTTTGGTACTTGTAGTGGGCACAGCACAAAAAGCCCATTGTGAAACTTTGTGCTTAAGTACAAACAATATATATATTATTACTATTATTTATAGTTTTGTTATATAAAAAATAGGTAAAATACAAAATCCTACAATAAAATATAAAAATAGTTGACAATGTATTTTCAGAATTTTAGCACAAAGACATTGCACCTTTTACACTAATACACAGGTACACTTATTCTTCAGAAAAACCAAATTTTTATTTTCCAAAATTACATCTCTTGAATTTTGACCTAATAAATTTTATCATTTGTAAATCTCAATTTAAAATTGTTAACTCATCTTTTATAAAAATAATTTTCACAAGAGATGTAGTGAACACACAGTTTAATATTGTTAAAGAAAGCAAACTTTGAAATGCTTTGGATTAAAATGAAATATTATTGTCTAACTATATGCTTATATTGTATTTTATTATAACTGTAATACTTGAGATAATAATTATAAAATGATAATTAATGTTAAATTGTAGAATATGAAAGGTTCAGTGTTATTATAAAATACAATTTCACCCATAGAAACTAGAATTGAAACTTCATGAAACTATAAATCATGTAATGTTAATTATTCTTCAGTATATTATTAATGTATATCTAATTTAACCCTTTCCAAATGGGTCACAAGTGAAAGGCCATGTCATCACATTTGTTGACTGGCATTCAAAATTTTATTAAACTACTATTTCATGAACTTATGTCAATAAGTTTGGTATAAAACTGTACATTATAATTAAAATTGTAGTATTATACATTACTTAATTTCTGAATTTAAAAGTAAATATTAAAAAATCACAGTTAAACATTGATTTTTGTGTCACAAAGTATGTTGAATGCAGCACTGGTTTGTGATGTCAAAATACTAAGTCTATAGTTTCGTATGAATTAGAAACTCAAATTACCAATATTGACAAGTTAGAATATAAAATAAGAACCTCTTATCTTTTCTATTTGCTAAGATATTGCTCATGTAATAAATCAAACATTGTGGCACCCCACCCAACTCTTTCCATTTTTGGAAATGCTCCCTTATATACATTTACTTCTATATATGACATGAATAACTAATTGAAAGCTCAGAATATCCCCCTGATGGCTTTCTTAGCCATTTCAAATTCTTTGGACACCACCTCTTTCTCTCAACCAAGATTTCAAGGAAGTAGGTTGTGTCATTAGTCTGCTCGAAATTTCATAATTTTTTTAGACTGAAATACAGCTTAGTTACTAAGCTTGATAAATTATAATGAAATTCTATGGTATTATTGTAGTAAATTATAATTTTCTAGTTATTTAAATGTGTATATATAAAAAAACCCAAAAAGATTTTGTTTAATATCCTTCATGTGCAATTTTTAAAAGCTTAGCAACCTACATGAAGCAGCAACTGAGTACAAAGGTCGTAACCAGAAAAGATAATTGTTTGCTTTATTTCTTTAGTTACTGTTCTATGTTTTAAGAAAAATAAGTTTTAGAACTTATTTCAAAATAGCAATAATCTATATACATATATAATGTATAATAATTGAAATGTAACTGTATTTTACAAAATACTAGTCTACTAAAACACAGCCAATACAAGTTACTTTGTACAGACCAAAGGTCACCCTTTATGTTATTTGATATGGTAACATGAGTGCAGGTGAACTGCATCATTGTAACTTCTGTATTGTTAGCCAGGCACGGCTGAAAGGTCGATATATTAAATATG